TCCCTGTCCCGGTCCTTGTCCCTTTCTCGGTCCCTGTCTCAATCCCCGTCCCTGTCTTGGTCTCAGTCCTGGTACCTGTCTCGGTCTCGGTCCCCATCCCATCTCAGTCCTGGTCTCAGTTCCTGGTCCTGGTCTCCATCCCTGTCCCAGTCCTTGTCCCTTTCTTAATCCCTGTCTCACTCCCAGTCCCTATCCCTGACCCTGTCTTGGTCTCAGTTCCCAGTCCCTGTCCCTGTCTCAGTCCCTGTTTCCATCCCGGTCCCCATCCCTGCCCCGGTCTTGGTCTCAGTTCCCTGTCCCAGTCTCTGTCCCACACTCAATCTTGTGTTCGGTCCTGGTCCCTGTCCCAGTCTTGCTCTCCATTCTCTGTCCCTGCCCCAGTTTTGGCCCCGGTCCCAGTCCCTGCTCCAGTTTCAGTCCCATTCCCAGGATGGGGCTCTCCCCCTGTCCCGGTGCTGCCAGTGGCCCCAGGCAGTGGGATCCACTCCCGTCCTACACCTCCAGGCAGTGATGTCCCACTGGGATCACTGTGCCCCCTGTTCATTTCTGTGTGTTCTTTGAGTCAAAACGTGTTTGGAGCAATCTCCCACCTGGTGATTGTGATCCCTTCTCCTCGCAGTGTGGGTGGACTCGGTGTGGGAACTGGATTTCACGGAGACGGAGCCTCTGGATTCCTGCATAGCAGAGCAGATCACAGCCAACGGGCTGGACACCTTCACCTGCCTTTACCAGGCTCTGGCACCCTTTGCAGCTGAGGCTCAGGAGAGCAGAGAGGTGACACCACCTGCACTGGGCTCTGTCCTGCTCAACACCCATCCATCCCCTCTGTTTTCCTGTTGTTCACATCTATCCTGCCTTCAAATTCACAAAATACTCCAAGACTGCCCCAAAAAATTATTGTCTTACGTGCTGCAAAGCTTCACAATGAAGCTACTCCCAAACTTACGTATTATGATTATTCATATGCTTTAAAAAATGTAATATATAGAGGGTTGGTCACAGAAGCAACTGTTAAAATCTGAGTAGTGGCTAATTTTGGGCAGCTGTGTTATCATGGGGTTTCTCACTCTTCCTGGCCTGTTTTTCCTCAGAATGTCTGGACCTTGTTTGCTGAAAATGACCTGTCCCACCGCACCCTGGTGGCTGTGCTGCACCACTTTGTGTACGTGGGCCAGCACAAGAAAGCGAACGCACAGCAGAGGATTTACAGCCTGCACGCAGCTGGGCTGTACTTCCTGCTGCTGGAGATCCCAGGTGAGCCATGGGATGTGCCTCCTCATTGCTGGGCAAAGCAGCACTCAGCCAGGACCAGGTTTCTCTCATCTTTGAGAATCCCAGGTGGAGTAAGTGATGGTGCCTGTGCTGTTTGCTCGATGTCCCTGGAATCCTCAGGGACTGAGCTGAGATGTGGTGTGAGTGCTGAGCATTTGTTGCAGTCTGATGGCAGCTTGGCCTCCTGTCACCCTGTCACAAAGTGGTTTGATGGCCTTGCTCTGGGTCTGTGTCCTGTGACAAGGTCAGCAGAGAAACCCGCACAGAGCTGCAACCACACAGATCCTTCTGGTCTGACCATAATACACAGAAGCTTATTCCCATCCCTGCTCTGAGTTTTTTCACTGTGCAGCATTTGGATGGGTTCATTGTGAAATCAGAAATGTTAGTTAATAACCAGCAGTTGGAGTTTTCCAGCAGGGCAGTTCACAGCAGGATCCTTTTGTTTTCAGGGCTGAGGAAAGCTCTGAGGTTTTGCTGGTCTTCTTTACCAGCTAGAAGGGATCTCCTCTTGGAGAATGTCACTGCTGATGGCACATCATCCTGATGCAGCTGGGCTTTGCTCAGAGAAGTCTGTATTCTTCTCTTGAGCTTTCTTAGGCTCCTAGGGTAGTGCTTTGGTCCTGGGAATCTCCTTGACTGTCAAAGCAAATGGAGAGTTCAGAGCATCCCAGACTGGTTTGGGTTGGGAGGGACCTTAAAGACCATCTAGTTCTACCCCCCTGCTATGGGCAGGGACACCTTCCACTAGCCCAGGGTGCTCCAAGCCCCATCCAACCTGGCCTGGAACACTTTCAGGGATGGGGTTTGATGCTCTCTGTATTTTGAAGGTGACTGACATTGTGTTTTCTGGGCAGGCAGCATAGTTAACCAGCTGTTCCATCAAATGATGTTTGATAAATGTCTTTACACACTGACAAAATGTTGGCCTCAAGACCTGAGGAAAAGAAAGAAGTCGCAGGCTCAAAGCTCTCAGGGCAATGCAAGAAGAAACAGAAAGAAAGAAAAACCACCCAGGAACACCAACCTCAGTGTAAGATGTTTATATAATCTCCTCAGATCTGGGTCACTATTGATAAGCAAATTGTTGGCAAGCTGTTTCTCTTCTCTACCAATATAGTTGGAAGAGTTATTGGAAGAGGAGGAGGAAGAGGAAGGCGTTTACTTCTCCACAGAAGATCTTCTTCAAGTGCGCAATGCAGTATTCCTTCTTCTGAAAAACTTCTTAAGGCTTCTACCCATGTTCTCCCTGAAAGAAAAGCCTCACTGTTTGGAGAACTATGTGCAGGTAATAAGATTCAAGTCAAAGAACCTTATGTGCCTTAACACAAGCTTTTGGAGGATGTAGAACCCTCCACAGGAGGGATGGCAGCCCTGTCTTTCATCAGCTGGTCCCTGATGAGAGTGGCAGTGGAAATCTGAGTGTGCTGGTGCCTGCTGTGTCTATATTTCATGCTTGACACTTGCTGGCTAGTGCCAGGTGTTTAGGTAATAAGATTCAAGTCAAAGAACCTTATGTGCCTTAACACAAGCTTTTGGAGGATGTAGAACCCTCCACAGGAGGGATGGCAGCCCTGTCTTTCATCAGCTGGTCCCTGATGAGAGTGGCAGTGGAAATCTGAGTGTGCTGGTGCCTGCTGTGTCTATATTTCATGCTTGACACTTGCTGGCTAGTGCCAGGTGTTTAGAGAATCAAAGTGCTGGTGCCTGCTGTGTCTATATCTCATGCTTAACACTTGCTGGCTAGTGCCAGGTGTTTTGTTCAGAGAATCACAGACTGGCTTGTGTTGGAAGGAACCTTAAAGATTATCTAGTTCCACCTCTCTGCCATGGGCAGGGACACCTTCCACTAGCCCAGGTTGCTCCAAGCCCCATCCAACCTGGCCTGGACCCAGGGATGGAGCATCCACCACTTGTTGTGAGGTGCTTAACCCTCACCATTCCATGGGGAGACTTCTGGGCTTTGGGCTCTGCTTCTGTTCTGCTTCAAGGGAGGTGTTTGAAAGTTAGACTCCGTGGTGTAACCCCCACGCAGACCTGTGCATCTTCTCCTCAGGTGAATGAGCTCAGCTTGGCTTTCTTCCCTTGCAGGTCTTTGCTGAGTTGACAAGCTTCGAGCCAGTGTTGCATGAGTTTGAGTTTTCAGCAGCAATGTGAGCAAACAATTCTTAATGTTTATACAGTGCTTTGAACAAGTAAAGCCTTCAGCGCTTGTGTTATTGTCCTGGTTATACAAAAAGAGACCAATTCTTTTGCTAAAGATCATTAGATGTTCCACCTGCTAACAGCAAACAGCATCTCCTGAGTATTGAATGTTTTCCAGTCAATGAGCACTTTTAGTTGTAATACTTATAGTAAATGTTTCTCTGATGAAAGGGGAAGAGATCTCCTCTTTACCTTCTTTTCTTAGGGATTTCAATAAAGCCAAGTACATTCCTGAGCTGGCCTACTGTGGACTGCACTTGCTGTGTTCTCCTTTCCATGGGACAGAAGATCAGGTAAAAGTTGGACCAAATCCTCACAGCAGTTTTGAAGAGAAGTGATTGTTTCTTTCCTTCTCTGCACATCATTTTCGCTTGCATGTTTTTTATTTGTCACATTGAGTTTCCTCTTTGTGTGTGTGCAGGTCTTTGCTGGGTCAGAGGAAAGATGTTTTGGGGTTTTTTTTCCACTCCAGTCCTTATTCCCTTTGACTTGTTTGCTGATGCATTTGTGTGCGGTGAATTCTGTGCTCTGCTGACTCTTGTGGCAAATGAATCGAAAACACAAGATAAGCTGCAGTGGCATTTAGATCTGTGTCTTAAAAAAAGAGAATTCCAGGTTACTGCTTTTCCCTGGCATGTTCTTCTTCCCTGCTAGATGGAGCTCCAGCACCACCTGGCAGCTTTGTGGGGTTGGGCTGTGCAGCACTGGAGCATGATGGGGCAGTGCTGTGTGCAGGTGATGCTGAGCAGGGTTGATCCTCTCTCGGGGAACAGCCTGTGATCATGGCACAGCCAGCTGGACCAGAAACATCTCTGCTTTCCACTGTCATCTGGTTAAACTGCCAAGCAGACTGTGCCATCTTATCTGTGTGCTGTGGGTGAGGCTTTTAAAGTGTGGGTGTGAGTCTGTGTGAGCCTGCAAGTCCAGGGATTAGCAGCAGTCTAGTCAGGAAAACCTGGAGCTTAGTGCACACTGGCCTGGCACATACCTGAGTGCCTGCCCAGCTTCAGCAGCCTTAGCCCTGTGTAGGTTTTTCCTGCCTCCTTAGTCTCTCAGCCCAGAGCTGTTAACATGTGAGAACTCCCCTTCCCAGACCTGCCTCACCTTCCCTGCCTCTTCCGTGTGATCAGGGAATATCAGGATCATAAGGCACACAGTGGTCCCAAAAGGCAAGGAGGAACCTCCAAAAGGTTCAAGTTCACGTGGTGGTAAAAACATGGGTTTGGTTTAACATGTCTTCTGTGCAAAACCCAATGAATTTCCTCAAATTTCAGATGTTTCTGGGGGATTAAAGCCCACAGCTTTGGAGGGGGTCTGCTCATGCTTTCAGGAAGCCCTTTTTGGGCTTCATAGTCAGGAAAAATGTGTGTCTTAATGAATGGTCCCTCTTGGAATTGTTCTGCTAGAAGTCACACTTTGACCTGTGTCCTTGTTTGGATCTAAGTGTGTTTGGTTCAGAATCACTTCATACACCTGGTCAGAATGTTTTTCCATGGGAATGAACCTGGAAATGTCCTTTTCTTTCCAGACTCTTCGGTATATCTTCTGCCGAATCCTCAATGTCATTCTGATGGTGGAAAGTCGTGGACATTCCAGATATGAAATGCTTCCCATCACATCAGCTGTGACCAGTGCCAGGAATCAGGCTGTAAAATTTGTCAGGTGATGTACAAAGCTCTGGCAATTCCCTTGCTGGGTATGGCTGCTCTTTTCTTCTGGCATGCCTTAGCTTTGCTGTTGAGTTGATAAAGGGATGAGACAAACCAACACTGCCTTTGAAGTTGTTTGTGCAAATGGTGTTTAATTAAAATGTCTGTAATGGGAATTTCCTGAACTTGCTGGCAGAGGGGAAAGAAGGTGCTGTTTGACAGGGAAGTGGCTCTGAGTGGAAGGGACTTATCTTCTGTGTTTTCCTTTGTGTCAGTTTCTCAGGTCTTGTGTTTTACTACAGAGGATTGTAAAGGAAATGAAAGATTAACATCATTTCTCCTTAGTTCTTTTTCTCCTGCTTAATGATATGATTTGCCTGTGTTTATTATTCCCTACCGTGTGGGGATCCATGTTGTTGGGAAGTGCAGTTTGTGCAGAGATCCCCAGACAACATAGAAAAGTAGATTGAGAACAAAGAAGCTTTTCATGTTGTTCTACTTGTAGAAAGGCATTGGAGGATGTGTTTTCTGCCTGCAAAACCAAGTTAATGTAGAAAGTAAATAGGTCCATTCTCTGACCATGTCCTGCTGCACTAGCACTGATAATTCCAGAACACATGCTTTTCCTGACTCCTGTAGTGCATTCCAAAAGGAATGTCCTTATCTTGATTTCTCCTGTTATAATTCAGCCTCATTAAAATCTTCTTGGTTTTCCCCTGTGCAGTTTTCTGGTAGATGAGCTGAAAGAAGTTGCTTTTCCTGTTCTTCGAATATTACTGCAACATATCTGTGCCAAGGTATGCCAAGCTTTGCTGCTTCCTGAGCTGAACAACTCCTATGGATACACTGAAGGATCTGTAATAGTTAGGAAACCTGTTTTCACAATGTTTTGTAAGGAATGAAAGGATGTGATGGTGCAGTAGTGACCAAGGAAGCTGTGACTGTTCTCCCAGTCATTGATGGATGTTTCATAGTATGTTAAGGGATTGGAAGGGAGCTTAGAGATGATCCAGCCCCAACCCCCTGCCCTGGGCAGGGACACCTCCCACCAGAGCAGGTTGCTCAAGGCTTTAGCCAACCTGGCTGTGAACACTGCCAGGGTTGGGGCAGCCACAGCCTCCCTGGGCAACCTGGGACAGTGTCTCACCATCCTCACAGGAAAAACTTCTGCCTAATAGCTCATCTACATTTCCCCTCTTTCAATTTCTCTCCATTCCTCCTTGTCCTTTCTCTGCAGTTCCTGGCCCTCTGCAGTTTCCCTGGAGCCCCTTCAGCTCCTGGCAGGTTGCTGTGAGGTTTCCACACAACCTTCTCTTCTCCAAGCTGAACAGCTACATGTGACCATATCACCTCATTACATGAAAAAATACTCATCTTAAGCCCTGATATGCCTTTCTGGCTTTCAAGCAGAGCACTGAGACATCTCACCAAGCCATTGCCCTTGTCTTTCAGGTCCCAGATAAGGCTGATTATCGCACATATGCTGCACAGGCCCTGGTGACTCTGCTGAACAAACTTCCTTGTTTGGAGTTTGCTGACTTCATTACTTGGCTTTATAAATACTCATTGACCAGGGTAAGTACATCTCCTTGATGTTCTCCCAGTATTTTGAAGACGAAGGGTTTAAAATCAGCACTGCATAGCACTTACTGCTGGTACCCAAGTGCCTTTGCTTACCTTAACAGAGCACCTTGTATGCTTTTGCCTCCCACAGGTTGCCTACAGAGTGTTTGCTCTTGATGTAGCCCTGGCTTTGTTGGAGCTGCCAGAGAGGAATCTGGACAGCTCCTTCTCCGTGGATCATCAGAAGTTTGTCAAGCACAAGTTCTTAGTGCAGGTCATGGTGTTTGGCAGGTGCTCAGACAAAGCCCCTGTGGTTCGTAGCAAAGCTCTAAGCAGCTTTGCCCAGTGTCTGGATATGAAAGGTGCTGATACCTTGGACAGCATACAGGAGTTACTACAGGGCTGTAAGTACTATGGGAGTGAAAATTTTCCTTAAACTTTCTAGGGAATCATTGCTGGGAGGTAGAAGTTGTCAGGGACTTCAAACATGGCCTGTAGTGTCCATATGTGTTGTGTCATAATGAGAAGCAACAGATGAGTCTTGTTACTCATGAAGCTTTATATTTGGAAGGGATTTATTCTCGTGTATCAGTTCTAAAGAGATTCTTCCATGAGGTCCCTTTGAAGGATGTTTACAGACAACTGAAATTGCTCATTGGCAAAAAAAAGAAGCAGCAGTTCATTCGTGCCTGACAGCTGATTAAATCTTGAGTTGCCTTTTGCTTCTGCTAAGTTGTTCTGTTCGTGACTGGCATCCTGAACTCCCACAGGTGTGCTAAAGGCCAGATGGCACTGCTCAGAAGTATGCACAGAGCATCCCACAGTTAGATTACTTGCCCAAAAAAATAGGTGGAATGACAGAATATCCCGAATTAAAACACTTCATTTGACTTCTTTTTTTTTAAATTTCTTTTCCTTTGGCAGCCTCTGTCCGTACACTGTTGGAAGCAAACACAAACACTACGAGTGTGGCAGTCAGTGCAGAAGGTATAGAGTCATTCTCTTCCAGTAAGTCTCAGGCTTTTTTTGGCATGCCATCTCCTAAAAATATGTCTATCTGTTAGTGCTGGGGCATGCATGAGTCTCTGTTTAGCAGTGAACCATCTTGCTGGGTGAACATATGCCTTTTGTTGTTCTTTGACTCTTTTTTTCTCTTTCAGCTATGTCCAGCCATGCACTGAAGACCGTAACAGCTCTCAAAACTATTGAGCTGACAGGCAACAGTGACACTGCAGGGCTGGATGGTATGTCAAAATTCAACCAGCATTTTCAGATAGCTATTCAAAGCCTTAATTGAAATTAGGCTTTCTGGAGTGTGTTCATTGTCCATTTCTCAGAGGAAATGGGGACAGCTTTCTGTAGAGCTGTTAAAAAACACTTAGGGGTGATGAAGGGGGAGGAAGTGCCAGTCATAAGGAAATCCTATTTCCACTCAAGTCTGAAAAATACATTTAATCTTGAAATACTGATGTTCATTTGTACTAATGTGGTGGCAACACTTGTTGCAAAGGAGGTAATTTATCCTTTCCAAAAAGGATGGTAATTGATGTAGGATATAATACTTGGAACTCCATAAATGTCAAGGTAATTAAATCTCTTGCTCTAGTGCACAAAGAGCTGATCTATTTTGCTAGGTAAAACACAGCACCTTTGCCTAGCAGTGTTGTGGAGGGAAGGATCCACTTCTCTGCAGCATCAGGTGTTGCCTGGAGTTGAAAGCTTAGTGTCACATTGAATGTCCTGATGTAGCATGGCAAGCTGGTTCTCATTTGTTGATAGCATGAAATCAGCATGTAAGTTGGCTTTTGTGGCCACAGTGTTCCTTCTTTAAATCTCTCCCTTTCTTTTCCCTTTGCATGTAAAAGCTTTTCTTCCTAACCTTTAGGCCCCTGCCAGTATCTGTGCTCTCAGTTCTCGCTGTTCACCTCCCTTGAACTGCTGACAATTCAATTCTCTGCTTGCTTCACATCCTGCAGTTGTGCCTTTGTTCCCTGCCTCACGCTGCTCTTCACATGGGATCTCTCTCCCTATCTCCAGGAGCCAGGCTCCAATCTTCCCCATTGAAAGCTTCCTTTTAAAACATTTCACTGATAAATTTCCTTAATCTGCTCTCTCAGATAGAAAAGTCCTCCAGGCCACTCAAGGTATTGTGTATTCCCTGTTTAGTTGCAGGCTCCTCGTGCCAGAGGATGCCTGGTTTTGTATCCCATACCCAGCTGAGCATGCACTTGGCACTTGGCAAAACAAATTAAGAAAAGACTTGAATGAAAAAAGCCTGTCTGGAGCTCAAGAGGATACTGAAATTCGGAGCTCTCCGAGTCAGTCAAGGTGCATTAGCAAAGCTGTCTGGCACAGGCTTGTGCTGGGCTTATGCCTCTGCTAATTTTGCACTTCTCTGAAGACCAAACAGAAGTATTTTAGAAGAGAAATGAATCTTGGCTGAGGACAGTCAGAATGTGCTAAATGCTCAAGGGCAGCGATGAGGAAGGTTGGGGGTAAACCAAGGTGAGGTGTGCATGGCAGGATTACCTCTGCCCAAGGCACACAGACATTATCTTCCCTTGGTGTAGTTCTCAGCCATTTAGAACTTGAGTTTTTTGTTTGTTTTGCTTTTTTTCCCCACTCTCTTTTCTCTGTCACTGTGAGTGAACTCAATGTCAAAGCGTGATTATTTTAGCACATTTGGTCCTTTCACAGGAGCTGCACTATTTTCATGGCAAAACCTTGCAATAAAAAGGTTCTGTGCTCTTCCTGCCCAGCTGTTCTCAGGAGGAGGAAGGGATTGCAGTTAGCTGCCCATTAAGAAAGCTCAGATCAAAGTCCCTTTGCTAAAAATGTATTTTTAAACTAGTTTCGATTAGTTCCCTGTGACTAATCCTATTTCTTAATGGCAACAGAGTGGATGTCCATATGAATCTCCCTAACAGATCTCCAAATTTGGCATATTCTATGATTCTATGATATATTTGGGAAATCTGACTTAATGCTGTGAGAAACTTAACAAACAGCAAGAAATAGAAGCCTTAAAAGCAATGGTAAAAGGCTCAATGTGATTAGGGCCAGTTTGCCAATTGCCTAATGATTCAAAAGGTGAGAAGTAATTGATTGTGGCTCTGTGTTTTCACCTCTGTGCCATTTAACAAACTTAACACCTTGCTGATGTGTTTTTCCTGACAACATGCAGAAGTAAGTATGAATATGATTGTGGAAAGTAGAATTGGAGCTCTGAATTGACAGTCAGGGAAGAGAGATGTGTTCTGGTCTCCTTTTAAGACTCTTAGGTGGTTCTTTGCAGCTGCCACTGCAGCCTCAAGGAGTTAAAAAATGGGGCCATTTCTCCTCTATATATTCAGCTTATATATTAATGCTTGGTACCGTGGGGAGCTCTGAGGCATAACTCACAGGAGGTTGTAGGTGTTCTCAGCTCTGCATAACCCACCTTGGCTCTGTGTTGGCTCCATCTGTCTGTGCTCTGCCCTTTCCCACAGGTAGAGGGTTACCTGTGCTTTTGTTAGAGCTGTGCATGATTCATCTGATGAGCTTTTCAGACTGTGAAGGTAGGCTAACATCTTTTATGCAGGCAAACAAAGAGGTCAGAAATGACAGGTTTTGTAGGTTCTTTGCTGCCTCCATCAAGTCATTGGGTTTGTAATTTTCTTTTGTGATCTGTTAAGATGTATTTTTCAAGGGAAAGAACTTGGAAAAATGTTTAGGTTTGTTTCTCTTTATAGGTTATACCTCATTCTGGATTGTTCTGGGTGGTTTTTATTGTGCTTTGTTCATTCTTTCTCCCTTCACTCTGAAAGTTGCTACAGAATTTGTTGCTCAGTTGAGTTGGGAGCTGTGTTGGTCCTTGCACTGGGTGTTAGTGCTGCTTAAGGGTGGTGAGACACTGGCACAGGTTGTCCAGAGAAGCTGTGGCTGCTCCATCCCTGGGAGTGTACCAGGACAGGGTGGATGGGGCTTGGAGCAACCTGATCTAATGGAAGGTGTCCCTGCCCATGGCAGGGGATGGAACCAGATGAGCTTTAAGGTCCTTCCAACCCAAACCATTCTGTGATTCGAAGAAGTAATTTCTTTTTATCCCTGTTTTGGATAGGAAAAGAAATCATGGCCATGCTGAGAGTGAGAGCTGGAGATGAGAAAACCAACGTGAGGAAATCTGCTCTGCAGGTACAGTGGTTTCTTTGCATCCTTCCCTCAGCACTTCTCAGTGATTACCCAAAATGCTGTTACATAAGTAATGAGGCCACAGTGCTGTCGCCAGCTCTGCCACTTTGCCCACTTGTAGCTTCCTGCTGTCCCTGCAGAGTCCCTGCAGGCCTTCAAGATCTTGTTTACTAGTTCCTGATAAGTAAATAATGCAGGGATAATGATGGAAAATTTTTCTAGCACCCTCGCTGCCATTCTGTTATTCCGTCATTTGCAGAGAGAGGCTCTTGTCAAATGTCAATAGGCATTTCAATTAAGAGACTTCCTCATAAACTAAAGCATATTAGCTGCTTAGTTTGTTTTGACCTTGTTAGCAAAGGGATTAGGTTATATCCAGCCTCTTTTTTTGATTGAGCTGGGTGTTGCTTTTTGCTCAGTTGTTGAAGTCGTTATGTTTTACAGAGAGATGCTGCAACGACAACTTCCTCGTCTTTAAAAATAGGTGTCTGCTGCTCACTGCCTTCCTCTGCTAGTCCTCTTCACCCCAGCTCTTCCCCCTCAATTCACACACTGATTTGAGCTTCCCAGTTAAGACTTTACAATTCTGGTTTTAATGCCTTTGGATCCAAAACAAAAACAAATCCCCTTTTCCTTTTTGCCAGCTAAGAGCTGTAGCTCATTCAAGACATGTTATTTTCAAGGGGAAATCGTGGCATTCACCCCATCCAAATGCTGTTACAAAACAGGAACGACTGAAATGATATTTTCTCTTTCATTTTACACCTCTGGTTGTGCCCAGTGCTCATGAATTGTTGATGTGCTGCCTCCCTCTCCCTGCGAGATCAGCGAATCTCTGGTTCAGGGCAGCAGGGGGGGTAGATTGTATTTCTGATTCTCCACTCAATGCCCACTGCCAGCATTCCCAACAAAGTTCTGCTGCTCTTTGCCTTGCAGGTGTTTGTGGGCCTGCTGAAGCACAGGCTGATCCCTTGCACTGCAGAGGATTTGTCCATGCTCCAGGAGCGCTGCCGGGACCCCGCGGTGTCCATACGGAAACAGGCCCTGCAGTCCATGACAGACCTCCTGCTGGTGAGGGAAAAACAGGAATTTTCCTGCAGACTTATGGGTTAAAAGGAGGAGGAACCAACCCAATCTGTTATTCATTCAGTGACTTGCATTTGATGACTGTGCTCTAATTTTTTTTTCATTACCTTTTGACTCGGAAGTCATGACTCACCCTGATAGCTCCTTGTGATTTATGGAGAGTGATTCCAACGGTTAGAAACGTGGATTTTTTTTATTTTTTTTTTTGTTTTTTTTCTCTGTTGGCTGTTGATTTATGTGTCATGAACAAAATGTTTATGTTGCTGGCCTTCTCAAGTTAAAAAAAGCCCTGAATCACTTTCAGATGTAATGTGGAGATGATAGCACTGCTATATTTTTCTTTCTTTTCTATTTATTCACAAAGGGTTTGTAACTCAGGCTCAGAGAACAGGATTTATATTGAGCAAAGCCCTTTTTTTCTTAGTGCTAAATCATCTGCTGCACAGCCTCACTGCAATACTGTTATAATTCTTTATAGGGTTTCAAAACAAAATATTCTAGTGCTTTGGCAGAAGCACCAGGTATTTATCATAGATGTGATCAAATACCATCAGAGATGTGATCAAACACCTTGTGATGTTGAGGAGACATAAGTTCACCTGTTCCACCTTGCAGTGCCAGGATGCTAGGATTGATTAAAGTTCATTTTCAAAGTCAGTAACTGAGCCTGGAGGCCTTTACTGACCATATCCATGCATAATAATTCTCCTCCTCTTCTCTGCTCTGGTGAGACCCACCTGGAATACTGCACACAGTTCTGGTGTCCTCAACATAAGGAGGACATGGAACTGTTGGAGCAAGTCCAGAGGAGGCCACGAAGTTGCTAAGAGCACTGGAGCATCTCCCCTATGAGGACAGGCTGAGGGAGCTGGGGCTGTTCAGCCTGGAGAAGAGAAGGTTGTGTGGAGACCTCAGAGCAACTTTTCAATATCTGAAGGGCCTACAAGGAGCCAGAGAGGGACTCTGTGTTAGGAACTGCAGGGACAGGACAAGGGGCAATGGGTTCAAACTGAAGGAGGGAAAGTCTAGATTGGATGTGAGAAAAAAGTTTTTCCCTGAGGCTGGGGAGACACTGGCCCAGGTTGCCCAGGGAGGCTGTGGCTGCCCCAACCCTGGCATTGTTCACAGCCAGGTTGGCTAAAGCCTTGAACAACCTGCTCTGGTGGGATGTGTCCCTGCCCAGGGAAGGGAGTTGGGACCAGATAATCGGATAGGTCCATTCCAACCCTTAAATTCTATGATTCTCTGATATAGGTTCATCTTTGACTTAAAAAATGTTTCTAATATATGTGTTTCTCTCAGTTTGAGCCCAGCAATGTGCTACTGCAGAAGGCCTGGTTACGTGGGGTGGTGCCTGTTGTGGTGGATGCAGAAAGTTCTGTCCAGGAAAAGGCTTTGGATTGCCTTTATCAGCTCTTGTTGCAACATATAAAATCTTATAAGGCCAGGAGTGATGATGGAAAGCAGGAGCTGGCGTGGAATCTGCTCACCCTCTTGTGTGCAGAAAGTCAGGAGCTGAAGTAAGTGCATTTTCCCCTTCCCTTTTCACCTTCACCTTTCTGATGGCTCTGCTGTAAAAGCCCTTTTTGGGATGCTTTCATTGCCTTTCCTATGTTAGCATTCAGGGACAAAATGGAGATTTTTTTTTTTTTTTTGTACTTTTAATCCCATTAGAACACACAACTTTTCCTTTACAGAAAGAAATTGCCTGTTAACTGGAGGGCTAAGATAACAGTATGAGTTTGTGCTCTGAGTGCTCTCATCCCCTGCTTGGCCACAGACCAGTGGGTATCACAGTTGACATACTGTTAAAATGCACATGCTGCCTACTGTACAAGGACAAGAAACTCAATTTCTTAGGGTTTTTTCCCAGCTATTTAAATTCCCTGCTTGAAACAATCAGTATAAGTGCACATTACTGCTAGAAATGGAAACTATCATCTTGTGAGGTGCTCGTGTTGCTCTGCCAGTTCCTGGCACAGAGGAGCTGTTGAGCATGGACAAAAATAAGTATCAAAAAATGATGTGGCCAGCAGGACCAGAGAAGTGATTGTCCCTCTGTGTTGGGCACTGGTGAAGCCCCTTGAGTCTTGTGTCCAGTTCTGGGCATCTCACTGCAGGACACTGAGGGGCTGGAGGTGTCCAGAGAAGGGAATGAAGCTGGGGAAGGGTCTAGAGAGTAAGTCACATGGAGAGAGGCTGAGGGAGTTGAGGGGTCTCAGCCTTGAGAATAGGAGGCTCAGGGAGGACCTTCTCACTCTACAACTCTCTGCCAGGAGGTGCAGCCAGGTGGGGTCAGGCTCTGCTCCCAAGGAGCAAGGGACAGGATGAGAGGAAATGACCTCAGGCTTTGCCAGGGGAGGTTCAGGTTGGACACAGAAGGAATTTCTCCCTGGAAGGAGCTGTCAGGCATTAGAATGTGCTGCGCAGGGAGGTGGTGAAGTCATCATCCCTGGAGATGTTCAAGGAACAACTGGACGTGGCACTCAGTGCTCTGCTCTAGCTGACAGGGTGGTGATGTGACACAGGTTGGATTTGATGGTCTCCAGAGGTCCTTTCCAACCTCAGTGACTCTGTGACAAGCTGGCAGGTGGTGAGAAGAGTTCAGTATTCCTTTGTGTCAAGTATTTTCACTTGCTGCTCTTGTTACCTGTGCTCTCTCCCAGGACTCAAGTGTTCACACACAGCAGTGTTGCAGCTGCTCTGGATGCTCTGATAGCACATGAATATTTAAGTCAAATGGAGGTGTTCCTCTGACAGAAGTGAGAGAGGATATATAAAGCAAGAACATCACCTTGTATTAATTCTTATGTACAATATGTTACTTGTCTTATGACAAATCGAATTATTCTGCCTTTTGCAGATCGCTGTGGGAAGGAGCAGGAGAAATGGGATGAGACACAGTGTGACAAGGACACAACATTGACTAAAGACAGCTGTATGTTTATTAGTCAACAGGGCATAATAGCTCAGAAATAGAAAATGAGCTACTGGTAGTGCTGCCATGCCAATTGTGGGACTGTCATTGTTCTAATTTGGGCCATTTTGTAACACACTTGGCAGATTCATGGCACCTTCTTCTTCCTGACCTTAGAGTACCTTGCAGCCTGGTAAAGCTCACAGCTTTTTCAGTGTGAGGTAGGTCATTAGGGTTAAAGAGAAAAATGAGCAAGGTGTGATGCCTTAACATGACTGTCCTGTCCCATTATCCATGGGAGCGTTCCAGGCCAGGTTGGATGGGGTTGGAGCAACCTGGTCTAGTGGAAGTTGTCCCTGCCCATGGTAGGGGATGGAGTGAGATGAGCTTTAAGGTCCTTCCAGCCCAAACTGATTTATGATTCCATAGTGATGGGTTTTAAATCACAACTGCTAGAAAGTCTTCGTTAAAAATTGCTGAGCTTATTTTTTCTTGATGTGTCGTGGTACCAGTTGGACCTTCTGTCTTCCTGCCCCAGAGAGCTTCCATCCATGCAAGTATGCCAGGTCTGTCCTGGCATGTTATTCTACATGCCTGGCATGTTATTCTACATTCCAGTTCATAACTGGGACAGTTATGAACTGAAGGCTGAAAATATGTAGTAAATACGTCAATTCTGAGCAGGAATAGTGGGAATGCCAAGGGATAACAGCTCTGTTTTGTTGCCCAGTGCATCCTGGACAGGCATGTTTGATTTTACTCACTGTTTTGTTTGTTTATTCCTCCTTGAACTTGCTTTCCTTTCTTCCCTGCAGCCGTTACCTGAGCAAAGCTTTCCACATGTGGTCCAAGCAGAGCAAGTTCTCCTCCGCTTTCATCAATAATGTCCTGTCTCATGTGCAGACAGAACATGCTGTGGCAGCTTGGATGCTGCTGGCTAAGGTGGCAGGTTCTTCACCCAAACTGGATTACTCCAAGATCATTGAGTCCTGGGACAGTGTCAGCAGGTGTGTGTCTACTTTGAGCTCCATGCCACAGGAGAGAGGTGAGGGTGAAGAGGAGGAACAGACCAAGTGAGCATGTTCCCTCCTTCCATGGGCTGTTCAGCTGCTTGGATCACACTTCTTTCTTGAGGCAGTTGATTCTCCAGCTGGCAGGCAAGCAATGGCCTCAAGATTTGTGCACTAACCAACTCTTTCCTTAAGCTTTTTGAGTTCTCATTGGGTTTGACAGGTCTGCCTTAATAATGCATATCCCAGATGAAAGGATTTTTCAGCTCTGATTTGGTGGTGTTCCTCAGAGTTCATGTTGCTTTGTCTGCTCCACTGTTTTTCAGGCAGCAGAACGTGAACCCTGATACTGTAGGACACATCCTCTGTGTCATTGGGCATGTGGCAAAGCACCTCCCAAAAAGCAGCTGTGAGAGGCTGATTGGTGAGTGGCCCTGAGGAGCTGCAGGGGGGAAGGCTTTGTTCCTCCCTCTAGCAGTTAATTCTCCTCCAAAAGCACTTGATAAGCCTAGAAAACACTCATTTTGTGTGTGGTCTCGTCCTCAGATAACATCAAGAGCTGGTTGAAGCAGTCTCAGTGTCCCTTGGAGGTGATCAGCCCAGCTGTGGAAAGCCTGCAGAAGCTCTGCTATGCATGTGCAGAAGTGCTGGAGGAGAGACAGGTGTGGCTTAAAATATGCCTTTTAAAATAGCTTGTTCCCCACTTAGGGGGTTGTCTCTGGGAGGCAGCTCTGTCTCCAGTCTGTGGGATGATTAGCTCTAAAATAGAGGATCTGACTCCAGCAACTTGGAGCCTGTTCTGCTCAGCTCCCTGACTTGCTTTCCTGCACTTGTGCTGCAGAACATCCTGTACCCAAGGATGAACTTGTAAGGAATCTTTCTTCAATAGGATTTTCCCCCCCACACCAGAAATACCTTTCATTTACCTTCTGCCCATGTTAAGAGTTCCTACAGCAAGACCTGTTGCTGTGCCCATAGGACTGAGCTTTTTCTCAGGCTTGGGCCAGTGTGAAGCTATAGATTCATACCATTATCAATGTTGTATCAGAATAGATGTGTAGAAACACTCATTTTCTAGACCTCTTTCATGGGACCAAACAGGCAGTTAATAACATGCACATTTTTCTGCCCCTGTTTGTTTTATGCCATAGTTTAGTTCCACACACACAGTGGGAAGTTAGGGCCATATTTTGCTGGTAAAATAGAGATCTCAGCCCGAGCACACTTGCATAGAAGCTAAAACTGATGTAGATATCTCTCCCTAATGATTTCTCCTTGTGTATGTTTCTATTTCTCTTCCAATATTGATGACATCTCTTTTATAAGGAGCATCCCAATAAAGTTTAGTAAACGGGATGCAAAACTGCACACTCTGTGATTCAGACACCAGGGTAGGGTGATGCTTTCTGGCTTTTCAGCTGACAGTCAGAAAATCCTCCCTTGTAGGTGCAGTCACCACAGCCTGGTGGCTCAGCTGCCACACACACATGCATTTAGTTTCCTGTGTTACCAGTTTTAGATGATGGAAAACCAGAAATGAGGCTTTATTTTCATCCCATTCTATCCCAGACAATCAGCTTTTTTCTCTGTTTCCCCTCCACCCTTTGGAATTCACATCATGTTCCCATTGGAATGGAGCTGCACTTTGCAAGCAGCATCTCCAAATTCACAGAGACACCTCGGGAGTGTTGGATGTACATGAAACAGTCACTTCAGTCCTTTTGGTTTAAGTATGTGTGATTTCTATAATGAAGTAAACTTAGGCCTGTGGATCATTAAAAGCCAAATTTTCCAAGGTGTTTTGACATCCTTTTGATGTGCAGGAAGAATCTGAAAGCTCTAAGGCACTATCAGATTGATTTTTAATAGGACTTAGATTATTAAAAGCATATAAGGACTTTCATATTAGGGATTCATGTGTGGACAGATATTACAGCTACCTTTTGTTTAATTAATCAAGTGCTGCATTAATTGTGTTTAATTATGGAACAGGAGCTGCTCAACCAGGTGTGTGGAGATTTACTATCCACCTGTGAGAGCTATATCTCCACTATAGTCCTCAAAGAGGATGGAGCAGATCAGCTGCAAGAAGAATTCTTGGTAAGTTTTGGTTCCCCCTCACTGATTATTTAAGGGCTGTAGGTGTACTTGGAATTGATGTTCCTGAAAGTTCATGGTAATAACTGGGATAATAGGAAAACAGTGATGTGCACACCTTGTGTGTGTGTGTATGTAATGAAATCTACCTCTGGGCCTGGCAGCAATGTGAGAGTTTCACACAGTTGCTTTAAGGATATGATTACCCCATGTATTTTTAATAAAATTACATGAGCTTTTTGCTGTGTTTTTCCACTCAAACCTCTTAGATGAGCTGTTTGGGAAATAAGTCTGTGAAATGCTTGGAATGCTTTGAGGAGTATTTCAATATTATTAGTAGATGTGTGGGGGGTTAGAGCATATCAAACACACCCACCCAGGATTTCTGTTTCAAAGCTTCACCTTCTGTTCTCCAGCCACTGCCTTGAAAGGACTGAAGGAATTTGGAGTTGTTTCTGGAGAAGTATCAACTCCTGCTGACTTAATTTGCAGCTCAGCCATTGTCTTTTGACTGCAGTGTTGCTTTACCTCTGCAGGTGAGACACCTCTTCCTCTTGGGTGAGGTTGCCCAGCTGTGCCCAGCCAAGGTGGAGAAACGCATCTTCCTTTTGGTTCAGTCCATTCTGGCTTCTCCTGGCAACGAGGACCAATGTGAGGAGCTCTCCTTTAGTTTTGAATTTAGACACAACACTGTTTGCCAGGGCATGTGGTGGCTGCCCTGACCCTGGTGGTGTTCAAGGCCAGGCTGGATGAGGCCTTGAGCAACCTGATCTAGTGAGGAGGTGTCCCTGCCCAAGGCAGGGGGTTGGGACTAGATGATCTGTAAGGTCCATTCCAACCCTTAAATTCTATGATTTTATGTTTTCGTTCCTGACTTGTTCTTTTCCAGTGTCTACAGACAGTGAGGAGATTCCAGCTTCCCAGCCACTGTCCCAGTTCAGGGGCTCAGCCATGCCTCCTGTGGTCAGGGCTCATGCATTCATCACGCTGGGTAGGTGCCACCCTGCACTAGAAATGTTCCTTCGTGTATCTCAGCCTTTCTGGGGAAGTTCTGCCCAAAATCCTGGAGAAAAGGAGGCTCAGGGGAGACCTTATCACTCTCTGCCTGAAAGGAGAGTGTAGCAAAGTTGGGAATTGGCCTCGTCTCCCACATGAAAAGTGACAGGACAAGAGGAAACAGCCTCAGGCTGCACCAGGAGAGGTTCAGGCTGGACTTCAGGAGGAATTTCTCCATGGAAAGGGCTGTCAGGCATAGGAATGTGCTGCCCAGGGAGGTGGAGTCACTACCCTGGGAGATGTTCAAGGAACAACCGGACATGGCACGCAGTGCTCTGGTCTGGCTGACAAAGTAGTGATCAGTCACAGGTTGGACTTGTTGGTCTCAGAGGTCTTTTCCAGCCTAAATGACTCTGTGACAAGCAGTGTCAGTTGTGACAGATAGCCACAGCGTGCTCTGTTTGCATTACCTCAGCTCATAGCTTTGAGCAGTGCAGATATCCATGGTAACAAGTTGCACAAACCCTAAAAACTCTGCCAGCTCTGTCACTGCTTCTCCAGGTGGCTAATGCATTAATAGTGATCGATAATTAGCAGTGTCCTCCAGAGCTGTGCTGTCCTTGTACTCAGAGCTGGTTGCTGTCTGTCTGAAGGATCATCTTGCATACAAGGTACTCATCAGAGAATGAAGAGAACTTGGTGCTTTTGATGTAGTTTAGAGCAGAATGAGTAACTGTGTGCAGTCATTCTCCTCAGCATGAGGGAAGAGCTGCTTTTAGAGATGCCTGGTCAGTCCTCATCTTTGTGGAGAGTACAAAGAGAAAGTTCTGGGGTTTAATACCTCTGTGGTTAGGAACAAGTGTCTCTTGCAGATAGGCAGCGTTATACTTTCCTTAACTTCTTTGGGAAGTTGAATACTTTTGTACAGAGTATAGAAACAGGGAGAAGTGATGTTGGAATGCAGGCTATTTTATTTTAGGCTGGTTCAGTGATGCTCTCAGAGGTGGGTGTCTCCCTGCTATGCCTATGACAGCTGGGGCTGTTCTTTTTAGCTGCTTTGAATAATACCCTGTACACAGAAATAGTTTGCTGTGAAGGAGGGAATTTGGCATAGAGACCCACTCTATAGGTCTAAGGGGAGTTTGGAAGAACTTGAAGTACCGTCTCTGAGGGAGATCATGCAGATTGCTCATCAAGTTCCAGCATGAGTTGCTTGTTTATTCCCCTTGTTTACTTCCTGAGTCCTTTCTTGGCTCGTGTTGGACTTGGAGGAGGCAGCAAGTTGGGCTGGGGTGGTTGGGAAGGAGAATAAATTCACAGCACTGACTGTCCTGCTCTTTGTCACAGGTAAGTTGTGTTTGCAGCACGAGGACCTGGCAAAGAAGTGCATTGCAGCCCTGGCTCGGGAGCTGGAGGTGTCACAGGACGTGGCTGTGCGCAATAACGTTGTCATTGTGATGTGTGACCTCTGTATCCGGTACACCACCATGGGGGACAGATATATTCCCAACATTTCCTTGTGCCTCAAGGACCCAAGTCCCTTCATCCGTAAGCAGACACTGATCCTGCTCACAAACCTCCTGCAGGTAAGTTGAGTGTGTGCTCACAGCTCTCTCCAGGCACCTCCAACTGAATCCTGCCCACCTGTATTGCTTGTCCCTTGATTCATCTCCACATAATCAAGAATTATTTAAACTAGGTACTTTGGAACTGGTACAGGTTGCCCAGGGAGGCTGTGGCTGCCCCAACCCTGGCAGTGTTCACAGCCAGGTTGGCTAAAGCCTTGAGCAACCTGCTCTGGTGGGAGGTGTCCCTGCCCAGGGCAAGGGATTGGGGCTGGATGGTCTCTCATGTCCATTCCAACCCCTAAAATTCTGTGATTCTGTGATTGTTACTGCTTTTTTTGCTAGCTAGGCAGAAATCACATCGATGACACTTAACACAGTTGGGCACTGAGATCATTTGAGACAATGGTTACCTCTTTTCTTATTTGGGTTGGGTTGAACTCCCTTCAATTTCCCTTCACTGTGAGTAGATATAACAAGCATCACAGCACCTTTTTTCTCCTGCTGTCTCTGCTTAGTCTTCTAAAGGTGTGAATGCTGAGAGGCTGAAGATGTTTACCCTTCCAGTGTTCACATGAACTCACTCCAAGCAAGTTTGGAGTGCATTTTGCTCTGAAAACAGTGTTGAAGAGCATATCTGCCTTGGGATGGGAGAATAGATTCTTCATTTTCCTACTTTTTTTCTTGATAGCAGTGGTAAACCTGGTGCTGCTGTGGCATTTATGCTGCTTAGAACATCCTCTGAAACACTGGTTGGTTTTTTTTTTTGTGTACCTCTGGCTGAAGTTTTGGAGCTTGTTCATTTGCCTGATGTATATTCTGCTAAGCTTCCTCAGGTACTGTCCTGACTTCAGCCTGAAGGTTCACCCTAGGTTTTTCCTGGTTCAGGTTGTGATAATTTACTCTCTGCTGGTTTCTGACAGGAGGAGTTTGTGAAATGGAAGGATTGTCTCTTCTTCCACTTCATCAGCGTTTTGGTGGATCCAAACCCAGATATTGCCAGGTAAAATCCTCATCTGTGGAATAATACAGGAGGGCAAGATCAGAGCTGTCCTCAAACCAAACTCAGGCTGGCACCTTCACATATGAAGAAAAGCTCCAGTGAGAGAGTAGATTATCCCATTAACCTCTTCACTTCCTCAGCTGATCAGACTTTAGGGTCTGCAGTGGGAGCAAAGAAGTGGTGAACCTCTATCCAGGTCATTTGTGTGTCCCAAAGTAGGAAGCTGTGAGTCTTTGCCTGTCTACAGAACATGCAGCTCAGTTACCCAGACTCAGTTACCCAGAAAAAAGGAATTTTGGAAACAAGTCTTTAGGAAATCTTCCTCTTGTTTGGTTTGGTTTAGGACTAGGATTAAATACATTCCTTCAGCCTTCTGCCACATTTTGTAGTCCTTTGACATGTCAGAGGAGTTAAGCACCCTAGCTTTACGTGCATGTTTATGAAGTTCTCGTGGGTTTCAAAGTCTCCAGCTGCTCTGTTACCTGAGCAGTGAGTAGGGCAGGTGTCTCTCAGATGGTGGATCATGCAGAGATGCTGGATGCAGAGGACACCTGGACACCTTGCTGCTTGTTTCTGTCTGGAACAATCAATCAGAGATGGCTGTTTGCAGGACCTGTTGTCCCTTACTAATGCATATTCACGTTTTCTTTTCTCTTCAGTGAGTTCCTAATATCTGAAAACATCTTTCCAGTAGATGGTGACATTGCAGCATCATGATCCTGCAGGAACATAGTGCTGTTTCTTTGGGAGCCTTTTCCTTTGCATCTGCATTCAGTGGCTGCATCCAGACAAAACTAGGTGTTCAAGCCTGGGGTTGACTTGCAGCTCTTGTAGGACTTTTGGTCTGTGTCTCAGCCAGGGTGGAACTTAAGCTGTATAGATAATCAGAGTGTCATGCCTGGATTTATTTCTGGCTCTGTTTAATGGCCATAAAATAAGCAGCATTGTGGGTGTTGGAAATGTCTGTCTCTTCCTGGATGAAGAAAGGCTTAAAGTCAGTGAGTTGATAGTCTTGGTCAAGCCCAGATGGAGCTGGGCAAGAGTTAAATGTGGTATTGAGTGAGAATTGGCAGAGGAAAACCATCCTCCTGCCTTGTGAGCCCTACACTGTGTTTCAGGGGTGGCTCTTAGAAACGACCTCATGACAAGTCCTTTCTTTTCCTCCTTTCAGGTTTACAGAGTTCTGCCTGGTGCATGTCTTACTGAAGAGGAATCCAGTCATGTTCTCCCAGCACTTCATTGAGTGCATCTTCCACTTCAATGGCTATGAGAAGCACAAGAAGTACAACAGGTTCCCTCAGAGTGCAAGGTCAGTTGAGCACATTTCTGTCTCATTTCTGCTGAGTTCTGGCCTGTCTGGCCATGCAGCTCTCAGTGCACTCATGGCACTTCATAATTACATATGGCACAGAGTGAAAACAGCTAGAGGAACCAGTGTTGAATTGTCCTGCCTTCCCTGTGACACTGCTGGGATGACTTCTGCATGTAATTTGTAGGACTGTGTAATGTCCTAATAAGTTTATGGGTCCTAAAAGTGCCATGCAAATATTCCTTGCTGATTTAAAGTCTTATTATTTCTCTGAGCTGGCATCATGTGACTTGTGAAATGTCTTGCTCTGCCACAGGGCAAAGAGCCTCTTCTGCCTGAAGGGGAAAGATAACAAAGAGAAGAGGATGCACATCTACACCTTCCTGCTGGATAACTTCACGGATGAGCAGAGGTTCAGCATTACAACCAACATCAGTGACAGCATCCTAGGTAAGGGTTTGTCTTTAAAAATCTGGCAAGCAAAGAACTGCTGTCTGTATAAAGCCCTTAGGCTCTCAATCCAGGTGTGTTCCTGTCCTTCCTGGCACTGCTAAAACACTTGTTATTCCTTCCCTCTGTATTCCAGCTTGCTTTGTGGATGAGGACCTTCCACTGGACATGGAAGCCAACGAGCTGCTCTCAGATACATTTGCAGTCCTTAGCTGCAAAAACATCAAGCTCTCCACTATGAAATCGAAACCTGAGGAAGACTTTCAGATTGAAGATGATGAACTGGCAATGGCCAACGCTGTCATACAGGCAGCACAGAAAAAAATCATCTCTCAGGTGAAGGACACTTGGGCTGGCACCATCCTGAGGTCTGAGGGCACCTGTTGTGTCTGGTAAAAACAAAGCATTAAGGCAAAACTTGTGAAGGTTTTGTCCTTGAGTTGGAGTGATGGGAACTGCACTTTCTCAGGAGTCAGTGAAGCTGTTCTAAGTTAAATTCATTCCCCATCTTGGTAAAGCATTTGAGCGTAGTAATGTGGGTTGGTTTTTTTTTTTGGTTCACCTTTGGGCAATTTGCCCTCCATGTGAGAACTGACTGGCTTAGTGATGCATCTGGAAAGACTCCACTTAGGTTAAAAGCCTCTGTGCGTGCGTGTGGTGCAAGAACAGCCTTAATTGCAGTAATTCCCTTGCTGTGGAGGGATAACTCCTCTCACTTAGGCCATTCACCCAACCACAGAGAGGCTTCTCCTTCATTGTGTCGTGTAACCATTCTGCCTTGTTCAATAAAAGGTTCAAAAGAAGAATTTCATAGAAAACGTCGTCCCAGTAATCGTATCTCTGAAGTCTTTGATGGAGCAGAAGAGGATTCCAGCTCTTAAGGACCTGATGTACTACCTACGGGTAAGGGGAAGTGTTTCCATGCTGAGTTGGAGGGTTTTTATCCTCTCTTGAGTTAATGTGTTGGATGTGCAACCAGCAAATGGAACCAACAGCCTTCTTCGAAGGAAATTTAGGAGACATATGATGTTGTGGCAGTGCCACTGTGTTAAATAACGTGGGAGGTGGAGGGATTTGAGATAAGGATCTCGGTGTGTTACGTGTGAGCCTCCTCAGTGGAACGTGGGCAGAGAGCTTCAATGCTGGAAAGCTGCTTCCCCCCCCCCCTACAAATTGGACTTGAAACTCTTAGTCTGTTAAAAACACCTCTGCTCTACCAACTGGTATTTCCTTTCTGTGCTTAAGCAGCTGTGAGCTGAATGGGGATGTGAATCAGTAGTCAGGAGAGATCTCTGGAAGGGCTGAAACGTTCCTTATTGCTCCAGGAAATGATGCAAGATTACAGAAGCGAAATCAAAGAGTTCTTTGCCATGGACAAACAGCTGGCAGCCGAGCTGGAGTATGATATGAAGAAATATGAGGAGCAGCTGGCCAGGGAGAAGGAGGCAGACCAAGAGCAGGTCCTGGCGGCGCAGGAGGTCGTCGGTGCCGTCAACTCTGTACGTGTGCAGTCTCCTCTGGTAAAGTTGGTGTGCTCCTAACAGCCAGACTCTGTCTGTGAACCCTGTTCCAGCACTTGGAGCAGAAGGATTATGTAATGTTCTCCTAGCTGTTTGTATTTCCTGACAGGAGCTTCGGTTTCAGAGTCGTTTAATACGCTTAGAATGTCAACAAACAGCACATGTTAGGTAAAGAGGAGCAGCAAATGATTAATGTAGAAAGAATTCAATTTAAAGGGAGAACTAAGTCTAATTTGGCACTGACTGTGCTTACATGTTGTACTGCTCTCTGTTCCCAGGGTGATAAACTCTGGGAAAGTCGAAAAGAAAAGGATTCACTTGGTCTGACTTTAGGTCTCTACAGAGTGGAATTCACACCTGGCCTAGTCATAGAATCATCCAGGTTGGAGGAAACCTCTAAAACCATTGAGTCCAACCATTAACCTGTCACTGCTGGAACCCCTAAACCAAATCCTGCAGTGTCAGATCCAGATACCTCCTCAGCACCTCCAGGGATGGTGACTCCACCACCTCCCTGGGCAATATCCCAGTGCCTGAACACTGTAACAGGGAAAACATTTCTCATAACATCCAATCTGACTCTGCCCTGGCTCAGCTCAAGGCCATTCCCTCTAGTCCTCTCCCTGCAGCCATGGCAGGACACACATCCCCCACCTCTCTCCAGCCCTGCCAGGGAGTTGTAGAGAGATGAGGTCACCCCTGAGCCTCTTCTCAAGGCTAAACAAACCCAATTCCCTCAGCCTTTCTTCATGCAGATCTTCTTTTGAAGTCAGTGTCAAGAAATAAGTATGAGCTTGGGTCAATTGTCCTGAACAATTTTAGAAACCTACCTTAAGATGAGATAACTTCTAGCCTGGAAGTACATTTCTCTCCTGACTTTAGAAGAGCATCTATATATAGACCTCTAAACTAGGACATATGTATCCCAACAAAACTTACTGCTTCTTGTTAAAATTTTGGCCAATGAATTCTTTGTCCCTTGCACCCCTTTACATCCATCACACAAAGGGCAGTTCTTAGGCACACAGCATGGAGGTCTAAGCACCTTCTGCCTAGGGTTTTCTACTCCTGTATCCATTGTTAGACATTGTCCTCCTGTTTTCCATAGCAATCTCCATCTTTGCGGAGAGCTGCATCTCTTGGTGGCCAGAATAAGGATGCTCAGAGTCCTACATGTGGGAGAGAGTCCTCATCATCTGGATCAATCCCTGCTGTGCCTCCTGGGTTTGCTACACCTCGAGGTGATGCTCTGAAGCAGCCACTCCTGAGCCGCAGGTATGAACTGCTGTTTGTGTTACCTGTTAGGACACCCTGGAGGGTTAGGACACCCTACAGAGCTATTGCTGTGCTGATCCATTCTGAAACACTGAAAGTCACCAGTGTTGCAGCATCATTTCCATTGCATTTGGTGATTAAGACCATATGTCTCCCTCATATTGGGAGGGAACAGTTCTCTCCTCATCACACTCATCTCCTCTGGGTTCACAGAAGGAAATCCCCATTTCTGTCCTGGTTTTTTTGCCCTGTAGGCCAGGATCCCTGAGCACTATGGCCATCCTGAACGCTGCCAGGGAGGCAGTGGAAGACAGAAGCAAGCAACGCAGCAGGAGTGTTGGATTTTTATCAACTGCATCACTTCCATTAAGCAAAGCTGGCAGCAAAGAGGGTAGGAAACTTCCTGCAAGCTGACCTGGCACTGGACTAGTTTGCACAGATCTAGTTAGACCCTTGAGTCTTGAATACATTTCTGTTCTTAATTATTTCCTTGTTCCTAGGATTCTTGCAAAGCCTGACTGGACAGTCTGCTAGAGAAAACATGATTGTGGGCCGTGCAATCAGCACACCAGAGGGTGAGTGGAACCCCAAGGAACCCTTTCCAAACTGGGCTGAGCACTCATTCTCTGAGAGAGGCAGCAAGGCATGGCTCCCCTAAGACAGAGAGAATTAGTCTTTGGTAGCTATGCATTATTTATTTAGCTAAATGGTTGTAGTAAAGAAGAATCATTCTGAAGCTGACAGTTTCTGCTGATGTTCATGGGAAAGGACAGTCTGATAGTCTCCATGTGCATGTCACAGGGTGTTAGAGTATTGAGTCAGTGCAGGAGAGCATTGATTTGGGGGATGCTGAAGTAACAGAGCTACTGCCCTTTCTTCCTTTATCGACTCTGGGGTGCTGAGGAGACATGTTGTGATTCCTTACTAGCATGCACTGCCCAAAGGATGCAAACTTTAATTGAAGCACTTGCTCTCCTTAGCTCTGTGAGCTTAGTTTAGCATTTCAGACTGAATTACAGAACCCTGCTGTAAGAGGGAAATCCTCAGGGTCTGGTCCTTTTCAGCTCTAAGGGGGAGTTCCTGTTGTTCAAACAAGGCATCTGGGGTGAGCTACAAGCTGCTCCTACAGCAGGTAATGAGTGAGTTGTGACAACTGCAAGAGGACACAGAGATCTGCTCCAAAGGGTAAACAAACCTGTATGGTCACTTGAGTATATGTGTTCCACACTGAGAACTGAACGGAGCATTGGAGAAGGAAAGATTTGGTTTTCTTACTCTGCTATGGAAAGTAAAGGAAAAATACACAGAGAGGAATCTCTGACAGACAAATTGTCAGAGTCTGCTGTACTTATGTCCAGTGCAGCTGAGCTGCCTCCTGACAGGAGCTGACCTTCCAGAGTCAGGTTTCCTTGGAATGCTTTCTGACAGCCCTGCAGCGTTGCTTTCTGCAAGCACAAGAGGCAGTTAAAACAAAACCCAAATAGAGCTGAGTTTCAGAAGGAGATTCCCTTCCTTTCTGTCAATATTCTGCTGAACTCCTCCTCCTTTAGGGCATCTGTGCTGTAGTGTGAGTTGTGTGATGAACACTCTCGAGTGCTCTGGGGAGGAGAGGTGTGACAGGTCATGGGGATGACATTCCAGCAGCACAGCTGGCTGCACTGTGCCTCTGCACACACCTGACCTGCACACACACACACACACACAGAGTAATGACATGGAGCCAACAAAGCACTCTGCAAACACCTGACAGCCGTGAGCAGGCAGGAGCTAACCAGCATCCAGTGCTGTGCAGCCACTGGAAAAATCCAACCTTGCTCTTCCCTGCGTGCTCCCCTGTTTGTCTAGAGTTGTCTGCATCGATGTTTCTCTTTGCCTGAGCAACAAGCAATGATCTCTGTGCAACAGAAACAATTGGGAACATGTTTTGAGAGAGCAGAAATCTCTCAGCGCCATGGCTGTGTCTGGAAGCTTGCACGGCTGTTTCTCTTAAGCACCATATGGTGAAAAGAGGAAGAAAAAATGTTAATCTGCAGTGGTACTAGGGCTGAATTCCTGCTTTGCTTCGAGGCAGCATGTGTCCTTCAGCAGGGAGACAAACTGTACAGAGCAGGATCATCACTCGAGTTAGCGTGTGTTGAGCCATCTGTATGGTGGTGCTGAGATACAACCAGGATAAAACATGTTTGTTTCTCTGCTACATCATTCTAAAAGTCTTGGAGATGCAGTTCTTGGTAAACAGTTTAGTACTTGAGAAGTTGGGAACAGCTGTCTCTTCTCATTCCCTCATTCAACTGTTCTGGCTGTCACTGTCTTCCCTGATGGCTCTGGGACTCCTCAGCTCCTGCTTGTTGCTTTGGGAATGGCTTAGGTGGGTCTGGGCAAGTGTGGATTGCTCCACAGACACGTGTTGTGACACCTTCCCATACTTCATGGCAACCCCTGCTTGATGGTACTTCCTTCCCCTTCCCTCCGTGTCCTTCCTCCGTGTCCTTCCTTCCTATTTCTTTCCCCCCTTTCCATGTTTTTCCTATCTATTTCTTTCCCCCTTTCCCTGTCCTTCCTTCATGTCCTTCCTATTTCTTTCTCCCTTTCCTTGTCCTTCCTTCATGTCCTTCCTATTTCTTTCTCCCTTTCCTTGTCCTTCCTTCATGTCCTTCCTATTTCTTTCTCCCTTTCCTTGTCCTTCCTTCATGTCCTTCCTATTTCTTTCTCCCTTTCCTTGTCCTTCCTTCATGTCCTTCCTATTTCTTTCTCCCTTTCCTTGTCCTTCCTTCATGTCCTTCCTATTTCTTTCTCCCTTTCCTTGTCCTTCCTTCATGTCCTTCCTATTTCTTTCTCCCTTTCCTTGTCCTTCCTTCATGTCCTTCCTATTTCTTTCTCCCTTTCCTTGTCCTTCCTTCATGTCCTTCCTATTTCTTTCCCCCCTTTTCCTGTCCTTCCTTCCTATTTCTTTCCCCATTTCTTTCCCTCCTTTCCCTGTCCTTCCTTCCTATTTCTTTCCCTCCTTTCCCTGTCCTTCCTTCCTATTTCTTTCCCTCCTTTCCCTGTCCTTCCTTCCTACTTATTTCCCCATTTCTTTCCCCCTTTCTCTCTCCTTCCTTCTTATTTCTTTCCCTGTCCTTCCTTCATGTCCTTCCTATTTCTTTCTCCCCTTTCTCTGTCCTTCCTTCCTATTTCTTTCCCTCCTTTCCCTGTCCTTCCTTCCTACTTATTTCCCCATTTCTTTCCCCCTTTCTCTCTCCTTCCTTCTTATTTCTTTCCCTGTCCTTCCTTCATGTCCTTCCTATTTCTTTCTCCCCTTTCTCTGTCCTTCCTTCCTATTTCTTTCCCCATTTCTTTCCCCCTTTCCCTGTCCTTCCTTCCTATTTCT